GTGAATCTCCATTTGTAACAGCTTTAACTGCTGATATCATCGGTTCATCATTCCATAAACGGTGTTTTCTGTGTTTGCTTCTCTGTTTTTGAATTTTCGTTGAATTTTCTGTTTTTTTAGTTTTATTTTGTTTTTTCATTCTAAAGTAAAATACTAAATAATGCCATAAAAATTTAATTGTAAAATGGTTACGACTGTCTAAAAATAAATGTCTATATTTTTATAATTATATCATAAAAATGTATCAAGTAGTTTAAGTTGGTCGTTCTCTCTCTCTCTCTTTATATATATATATATATATATATATATATATATATATATATATATATATATATATATATATATATATATATATATATATATATATATATATATATATATATATATATATATATATACATATATATATATATATATATATATATATATATATATATATATATATATATATATATATATATATATATATATATATATATATAATATATAAGGAGCTTCACTTCTCTCCTATAAATCCTGCAATAAGCTAACGGCTAGTTAACTGTCTTTTATCAGTTTGTTTTTGCAACTAACAAGTTTTCTTTTATGATAAATGATAACTTTTTTTTCATTACAAAAACGTTATTGTATATAAATTAATTATAATTAATTAATATACATTAACGCTTTTGGGACAGGTCAACAAAACAACAAAAGGTCCACAAAACAAAAAAAATTTCTGGTCCCGAGCAAACAATTTATTTTCTTGTATAGCATTTCTCATTTTATTTTAAAAATCTCTATGAAAATACGCTTTTTTTGAAACCCAGGTTGACATACTTTTGAATAATTTTGAAGGAATTTTACCCCAAAGGCTAAAGATTTGAATCCAAATATCTTTACAACTTGACGTGATGGTGAAAAATTAGTTGCATATTTGAAATCAAAATGAGAAATGCTATACAAAATTGTTTGTTCAGCACTAGCAAAAAATTGTTTTCTGTTGACCTGCATTTTACATTTTACATTTTAAATTTGAAAATTTTCATATTTTTGAACTTTGGGATACAAGTTTATCTTACATTTATATAATCGCAGCTCTTAAGATATTTGACATTACCCGTTAGCTTTGTAATTAAAAGATAATCTTTTAGCACATTAAAAAAAATTAAAACTTATTCTAGAAAACTTTTTTTCTACGCTAAGCTATTGAAGCAGAATAAGCAGTTCAACTAAATTGACAGTAATAATGACTGTATACCCCAAAATGGGGTAAGTAGGGCCAGTTTTTATGTTTTTTTAGTACAACTGGCTGAGATATAATTTTTTGATTGCATTTTTAAGTACTAAATGGGGCCATTTATTGCTCCCTTGAAGTTATGCATTTTTTTGACAAATAAAGTTAATCACTGTCCTTATTTATTTTATTCTAAGTTTACTTTTTGATTTTTAATATTACAAAAAAGTATTTATATAATAAAGATTCATTAACAATGAAACAATGAATATATAACTTTAACAAAATATTGCAAAGTGGTTTTACAAAAATAATAAATTAACTGTAACACTGTAAAAAGAACGCGGAAAACTTGCAGAAGACCAAATGCTCTTATCATCAAGAACCGCTTTATATTTCCATAAATATAAAAACATATTCATAAATTTTTTACATAAAATCATTACATTATAATGGTATTAAAATGTCAGATATCAAGTTACAAATATATTTATCTTTTTTTTTTTTTTTTTTTTAATGTTTACACATTTATTACTTATGCAATATTTATAATATATTTATATATAATAAAAAACTATTTAAGAAGTTGCAGAGAATAAATTTAGAAAAAACCAGTAACTTAATATTAATACTTTAAAATACACTTTTTAAAAGTTTTTTTAAAGCAATTTAAGTTTTTTTCAAATCATTGTTATTTAAATTAATTAGTAAATACTTTTTCCAGATATGAGGCGCATGATAAGTTTTTTGAATTTCTCAAGTTACTTATGCATAAAGACTCTAACAGAGTACTGTTTGTACGCAATAAATATAGAAAAATATACTCTGGTTTTGTTTATAAAGACTATAGAAATTGAAGGACTTTTTTGCATTTGGCTATTATACATAAGTCTTAAAACATCATATACAGTTAGTTCAAACAATGTTAATAAAGACATTTGTTCAAAAAGAGGTTTTTTATGTTTTTTTTTATTTTTAAGATTTGGGATCGTCCATAAATTACTTATTGCAAAATTTATTTTAAAAATATAAGAGATCATTTTGCTCTTTTGCGCAGTGGTTTTTGCTGGATTTAAAGGGTTGTTTATTTACTTGGTTTAAATAAAGAATCTGCCAGGGAAAACTTTTAATCCTTTTTCTTTTGTCTATTAGTTTAATTTCGCGCTACGCAATTTATGGACAATCCCTTAGTATAGCATGTTTCTGTTTACGATAGAGTGGTTCTAGTTTCGTTTTATAGGTACTACTCCATGGTATATTACCTTAGTTTAGGTAATTTTGAAAAAAGCAATTGTAGATTTGTTTAAGTAGATTTATTTTTAATAAGTAACGTGACTGATATACTATTCTGATGTTTTTGTATATTTACTTCTTAAATAGATGTTTGTTTCAATATTTCACTTGATTTTTGTCAATAAAAACATCCAAAAAGTTTGTAACAGTATCCCTTATCATTTTTTTTTTTCTGTCTGTCCCTAATGATCCCATAAGTGGAGTGATAAAAGACACTAATTGTTTTAAATGTTTATCTTTATTCTACCTCTACGTTGTCTCCATTTTAGGGTCTACAATAGTCTCTATTTTAGGGTTATAATAGAGACACTGTGCAACAATGTACTTAATGTGCATTACTAATTTTACCAGTGCTCCTAATTATTATCAGACAATGTTACCAGTGCACCTAAAGTGCACTAGTTGCACTTTAGGCACTTAAAGCGCACTGGGAACATTTAAAACTAACTAGAATAAACAACAGCCACACAATTGAAGAAAAACCCTTATTTAATTTAAAACAACAAATTTTTACTAAAGTTTTTATTATACAAGTTATTATAAGGTTCTCAACAGTTAAAAGCTCTGAGCATCAAAAATACAAAATTTCAGTTTTATATTACTGCGTAAAACATAAATGTGGCACATAATGAACACAAGTTAACAATAAAAATTGTCATACAAATTAAATTTTAAAAGTACAAAAATGAGCACCGTTCATTTAATACATTATTATTTGGAATGAAACTAAAACAAAATCAAAGTACAGTACTTTCTTAGTACTCAAAAATAATTATACTTGTACTACTTGTACTATTAACAAAATTGTAGCCTATCTTTAAAGTTTATATTAACAAAATTGTAGCCTATCTTTAAAGTTTATATTAACAAAATTGTAGCCTATCTTTAAAGTTTATATTAACAAAATTGTAACCTATCTTTAGAGTTTATATTAACATAATTGTAACCTTTCTTTAGAGTCTATATTAACAAAATTGTAACCTATCTTTAGAGACTATATTGAATTTTAAAACAAAGTTCAAAGATGCTGGATCTATACATCCCATTATTTGATAAAAAACAGGACGCAGAAATATTCCAAGTCATTCTATCGAGTACATAACCTAATCAACTCGGCCAAGAAACAATTTTCGATTTTTTCAAGAGTTCTCAGTAAAATTGACAGCAAACCACACTTGATGTTATCAGCTGTCACTGTTACTTTGTGGATAAATAAAATTTTTTCTGGTCTCTGTCTCTATTCACCTTCCTGTCCTGTTCACCCCGTTTTACGGTAGACCAATTTGCAACTATGAAAGCATAAAAACACACTTTATTTGTATTTTCAACATACTAGACTGTACCACACTTGTTTCTATTTAATTAAATTAAGATTGAGTTTATAAAAAAAGGAAATGGTTACCATATATAATTTTTTTTGTCAAGTATGAAGGGGATGGGGAGCGAAGAAGATAAACTTAGGGTTCCAAATTAAATTTTTTACGAAAAGGCCTATTTTTTTCCGCTACTGGTAAAACGGCTGGTTATTTTAGTAAAACCGCTGGTTATTTTAGTAAAACTGCTGGTAAAAATGTATATAAAAAAGATAATTGGTTAAAGTTTCTAATTTCATTATGAACTTATTCTACAGCTTAATAAACATTAAAATATTATTTCAATTTTAATTTCATAACGATGCTTTTAAAGAAAATCAAAAACTTACAGTCTAAAAATTTCGTCACAGGTATCTCTTATTGTTTATTAGATATTTTTTATAGGGTAAGGTGGGGTAATAAAAGAACTTTACTTGCTCAAAGCACTTAATTAGAAATAAAAAATGTTTTTTCTATATCTTTTAGCTGTTTTCCAAAATGAGGAAAATTTTCTTGAGGTTCAATCTTCATAGTTTTTTTTTACCAATTTTTCTAATATATAGAAATAATCTCATTATAATTCTCCATAATTAATATATGATATTCAAATTTGAACCTCTTTTATAAAATAAAAATCTCCTTTTAGTTTTACATTTAAAAGGAGATTTTTATTTTATAAAAATCTCCTTTTAAATGTATGCGCAATTATTAAAAAGTTATATACTTAAGAATTTGCCTAGTAATCTTATAATTAAAATTTAGAGAGTTGTTTTAACCACTTACAGAGACAATTTTTTTGGGAGGAAGGTTTGCAGAAGATTATCTCTCCTCCTTCCCCCCCCCCCCCCCCCCCACCTCCCTAAAGAAAGTGATTTTCACAATATAGTCGCTTTTTTGACGAATTTAGACGGCTAGTTTGGTATTTGACAAATATAGTCGGGTGAGTTTAGGTTTTGAGGATCTCACTCCCTCCCCCTCCCCTTATTTTATTTGTAGAATCACTTCAGATTACCTATTGCATATAATAAAAAAAGCCCATGCCAACATTACCCCATAGACCAAAATTACCCCACCCTACCCTACATTTAGAAAGAAGATTAAAAACGATTTTTCAATTTTTGTTCTGTAAAGTACATCCAATTCTAATTCGCCGAACGCTAGACGATAAATATACTTCAACTTCAATTAGAAACATATTACAACGTATATAACACATTGTAACCTATTACAACAAGTTGCATAATTTATTTTTGTCAAGCACTATAACATGATATCTTTACAAAGATGCTACTTTAAAAAGTTTACTCAGGTATGGATAGCAGTGTTTAATTTAAAAAATGCTCAAAAATATGTGCTAAGTTACATAATACAGGGAAGGCAATTTTTTAATCTTTGTTCTTGGTTTTGTTATAAATAAAAAAAAACGCCAACTTTATGTCAAATTAACATAAATTTACTCATGATAAAATTGATAAACAATCAGCAAAAAATTTTAAGCACTTGAGATTGCAAAATAGATTGTCTACAAATTTGTCAAAACATAACAAAATAACCTTTTATATCAATATTGAGATTTAAAAAAAAAAAAAATTACAAAATCTATTTTCCTTAAACTAAAAAATACTAAAACTTTTAATTGTTCTTTAATTAAATTGACTGTATAATGTTATTAAGATGTTAGTTCAAAACAAACATAATTAAACTTTATAGTATATAAATAGGTATGTGGATTGAAAATTTTAAATTAATCAAATACTAAATAGTTATATATCATTGGAAAGAGCTTTTATACAGTATTGTAATGGTAAAAAAATTATCAAAATTGAACAACTCAACAAAAAGTTATTTAAGTACCAAATTTGTCTAAATTTAGTTTTTATTTATCTAAATTATTATGACTTTGTCAATTCTTATCCCACGGCTGTTTCAAGGTAGACATATGGCTGCTTGTTTTTTTTCTTAATTATTTGCTTAAAGGGTGTAACTAAAACTGTTATAATTTTCGAAATATTACAGATTTATATATTATGTAAAAAGTATTTTATATAATATTCTGTAAAAAGAATATAAATAACAATAAAATGTTTTATCGTTTAACATTCAATAAAATATCAATTTTTTTTTAATTTTTAAATAAACACGCATAATTTACAAACTGAGCTGATTTTGAAAAGTTTAATGTTACTTATTAGCAAAAATAATCCAAAAAAATATACTTATGTTGTTTAATATATAATATAAACATTGTTAGACCATTTTAGAGCAAAAAAATTTACTTAACTTGTAATGATTGTTACGCATAACTATTCCTTCGGACAATTGTTTATAACGCTAATTTAGAATAGCAATCAGCGATTGCAAAACAAGCAATTCCTTTTTGCGAATTCCATGAAAACTGATTACAAAAGTATTTCCTTAAGAGAATTCCGCACGAAGAATTCTCACTTAAAAGCCATTGCGCTGAACTTAATAACAGTTGAAGTTTTGACATGAAACTACACATACTTTTATAACTAAACTAATTGTAATAATTTAATATAAAAATAAGGAAATAAATATTAAATAAAAACCAACGTTAAATTCACTTCATAATAAATAAGAAGTCAAAACATTGCATGGTACCAGAAGTGAACTGAAGACATTTTAAGAAGAGATTTTGGAAAAGTACTAACTTTAAAAAGAAAAAGAAAATGGAACATTTTTTTTCCAAAGCCAAACGTAATGGACTTCAATGAATCCAATAAAGCTGTTACATGGAAAAATTGAAACAAACTATGCTGTTGTATCTAAAAGCAGCAATGTGAAATAAATCTGAAGAAGAAAAATGTGACATTCTTATTAGTGATCAGTGAAAAACCAAGAGAAATATTTAATACATGGACTTAAAACAAAAAAGAAAATGACAACAGTGAAATTGATGACATCACGGTAAAAGATCTTTTTGAAATACTCGAAGAATACTCTTTACTGAAAAGAAATCTGGTTTTGGAACGAAGAAAGTTTTTCTTATGAAAACAAGATGTAACTGATTTAAAAAATCTGCCTCAAACATTGGAGTTTAAGAACATTCAAGATGGTCTGATATTTTACAAAATAATTGACGGAATCAAATCAGACAAAATAATCTATTTGAAAAGGAGTGGATTTAACTTTAACTAAAGCAATTGACATATATAGAGCCAAAGAAGTTGCAAATACAGAAATGAAATCAATTACATACAAAAAAGATATTGACGTGGTAAAGAAATTCATAAAACCAAGACAAGCAAATGCGTCAATCGGATAAATATCTAAATGGAGAAAGTTCTCGAATATCAAAAATGAGACAAAAGGCAAAGACTGGGTTGAACCAAATTAACAAAACTGAAAACAAATCAATAATGGCTCAATAATAAAAAACTGAAGTTGATGTTATGATAAAATAAGTCTACGTTCAACTAACATCACGTGATAATCTCACTTATACAAATGTTAAGCTACGTGGTTATGAAGGAAATTACATTCCAGTGCTTAAAACATCAAAGATGATGTGTTACTACAAAAGTTGTAAAAAGTTGGTTAAATTCTATGTAGTTGAAACAACAAGCAAACTTTTTCTTAACTTACAAACTTCACAAGACTCAAAAGCTATCAAACTACTAAATGAAGTAAAAACTGTAGACACGAACGAAGCTAAGTTGCAGCTAAAAGAAATATCTACTCTAAACAAAGTAAAATCGATTGAAGGAAAAGAATTAAAAGAAGAAATTCTAAATATGTATCCAAAATTATTTTACGGGTTAGGCATGCTTGGACCTGAACATTGGACCTGAATGACTCAAATCCTGTTATTCATCCACCAAGAAAAATTCCTGTTACCTTGAGAGAAAAAATAAAAAAAGAATTGGAAGAAATAGAAAAATCAGGAGTAATAACATCAGGAGTAATAACAAGAGTAGATGGGTAATTTGCTAGTACCAACAGAATGGGTAATTTGCTAGTAGTCGTGGAAAAACCAAATGGACTCTGTCTGGATCCAAGAGACCTAAATAAAGCTATAAAAAGAGAACATCAATTACCTACTTTTGAAGAAATATCAACTAGACGCAAATTAAGGTTTAAAATAAAATTTCACAAAACTAGACGCAAATAAAGGTTATTGGCAAATTCCACTGGATAAAGACTATGTTAACCACGATGAATACACCAATTGGAAGATTTAGATCACACGTTTACCTTATATACAGTTGGCTCAGGAAGTATTTCATAAAAGAATTAATTAATGTTTTGATGATCTTCGTTTTGTAGAAACTGATATTGATGATATTCTAATATGGGGCACAAAAGATGTCACGATGAAAATCTAATAAAATGCCTAGATCGAGCTGAAAAAATAGGAATGACCCTAAATATTGAAAAAATGCCGATTTCGAACACAAGAGTTTTATACTTAGGACACAAATTATCAATAAACGGAGTACAACCAGATGAATCTAAAATTAAAGCCATCAATGAAATGCCAAAACCTGAAGATAAAAAAGGAGTTCAAAGATTTCTAGGTATGCTAAACTATGTTGGTAAATTCCTACTTAATTTATTAGAAACAACGGAACCATTTCAAAATCTGATTAAAAAAGGGACACACATGCAATGGAGCGAAGCACAAGATCAATCCTTCAGAAAAATTAAAAAACTGCAATGTTCAGAACAATGTCTTGCATTCTATGATATCCAAAAACCTGTAATGATACAAGTAGACACATGCAAGACTGGTGTTGGAGCAGTACTACTTCAAAATGAAAAACCAATTGTATTTGCATCAAGGTCAATGACACCAGTTCAACTATGGAATCATTGAAAAAGAACTTCTTGCAGTACTTTTTGGGTGTGAACGATTTCACCAATATATTTTTTATGGGAAAAAAGTAACAGTTAACAGTGATTATAAACCGTTGAAAAATATTAGGAAGAAATCGTTAGCAAACACTCCTCCGTGTCTTCAGAGAATGTTATTAAGATTGCAAAAATATGATATTGATTTAATATATAAAGCTGGTAAAGAAATGATTCTGGCAGATACGTTATCTAGAGCTCATACCAATGAAACTGAAGACAAAATCATCATCAGAAGAAAACCTCAAAAAAGTAAAAACAAACACGCTCAAAGATATTACGTTAAATGTAGTAGTAAACTACATAACAAATGGATAGCTGCAGGATAAAGAAAAGAAGTTAAAGACTCAGTAAAACCCTATTGGTCGTTTAAAGAGGAACTGACGCTCACAGAAGGAATAATTTTCAAAGGACAAAGAATTTTAATTCCAACATCAATGCGAAAAGCAACAATTCAAAAACTACATCTAGCACACATGGGGATTGAAAAAACTAAAATGAGAGCAAGAGAAACTGTATTTTGGCCAGGCATTAACAAAAAAAATTAAAGGTTTAGTAAAGTGTCTGGAATACACAAAAAAATAAACTAAGGAGTTAATGATATCAAGCAAAATACCAAATCACCCGTTTCAAATTGTGGGAACTGACTTGTTTTACTGGAATAATCAGGATTTTATAATAGTGGTCGACTATTATAGTCTTTATTGGGAAATCGAAAGGTTACATAACATTCAATCTCAAACAGTGATAAAGAAACTAAAAATGGTGTTCTCCAGACTTGGTATATTGATAGTACGGAACAACAACAGCACACAATTCACATCTTCAGAATTCCAAAAATTCAGTAAAGAGTGGGAGTTTAAACATGTAACTAGTAGCCCTCAGTATTAACAATCAAATGGAACGGCTGAGAGACATGTGCAAATAGCAAAAAACTTGCTAACCAAAGTAAGAAGGTCAAATCAAGGTCTGTACATAGCTCTACTATAGGTAAAAAACACTCCTATTGACGGTCTTGCATCGCCTGCCCAGTTCATCAGTGGAAGAAGATTGAGATCAAGACTTTCTACTTCTCTGTCACTACTTCAAGTCAGGGTTGGCAAAAAAACCCAACCCAAAAAAACCCAACCCAAAAAAACCCACCTTAAAAAAACCCAATAAAACCCAAAAAAACCCAAAATATATTTGGGTTTTTTTAAAAATGTCCTATTTTACAACTGATAACTTTGATTTTAACACTTATAAATGCTTTATTATCAGCAAGTGCAACCTTTATACTGTAATTACTCTTGTAAACACTGTATTTATATACATAATGGTATTTAGAATATACCCAAAACCGATCAATCTGTTTTTGTCGCAAGTTGGATATTTATTATTATTTTTAAACATTTAGCAAGTTATTATAAATGTTATTGAAATATGTATTAAAACATTAAATTAGTTAAATACTTATAAAGGAAATAAAAATCATTTTATTAACTAAATTTCAAGACATTACTAGTTATTTAGTATCTTTATTCTCCTCTTGAATGTCTATATTCCTTTATATTGGTATTTGCTCTTTTATTTTTTAAAGCTTATGTTGTAAACTGCAAATTTCAGTAGAAAGCCACAAGCAAAGTACTATATATAAAAATTATTAAACTTTATTTACAGTTTAGAAATGGAAAGTTGTCAGGCAAAAAAAAAAATGCTACAGTTTACTAGATTTGTTCTTAAGTACATACAACTTAAAAACTTAAAAAAAATTAAGTTATGTGCAAGCAAGTTTGCAACATGTTTGCTCATTCAATGAGAGAACATGTTGAAAAATTGTATGCATTTCACAAAGACAAGATTTGTTGGTAAAAATGACACTCGTGCTCATCTGTCTTTTGATAGGTTTTGAATATTTTTCATTAGCTACAAGTTTACAACATGTACCACCAACAAGGGTGACTATGAACAGCAGGTTGAAAATTAACATCAGTATCAAGTTGCTAAAAAGTGAAGAAACACACACAATAGAGCTGTATAATGTGTTACTTTGATTCAGTTTGCAATTTGCATTGCAAAACTGAGCCGATAAAACATCTTCAAGGAAAAAATTTACTTTATATATATTTAGAAACAAAGTTTAGGCAAAAATCCATTTTTTGCCAGTCCAGTTGATCAGGCCGATAACTTTTCCAGGAAGCTGGACAGTATAATGTTCTGATAAAAAAAAATGTAGTGATTAGGCTAGCAGTTTTCTTCTATGATATAAAAATGTTTAAAAAGTGTTCATAGTCAACTTGATTCATAATAACTTATAAGGTTGCAACATCATGTTGCAAACTTGTTGATTACATGTTGTAAACTTGTGCAAAATAGTTTTTGAAATGATATGTTGAACATGTTAGTATAAAAAACTAGTTTGCAACATTTATATTGTCTTACCAACTTTGAGTAACTCAATTGTCATAATAATTTTTATACTGATTTTTTTTTAGTCAAAAATATTCTGAACGTATTTTTAAATCAGTGCAATTAATTAACATCATTTATAGTTGATGGAGTCCCTTTTTGCACTATAGGTAAAATGTGCTAGTAGACTAGTAGTAAAACATTTGGCTCGCAACCAGAAGGTTGGGGTTTAAATTACCTCTGCTGAAATTACTGTGCTCAATCTATTTCTCCGCACAGCGCCTTTGTTTAAAAATTTTAGTTGTTAATGTTGTTTGTTAGTAAAAATGGTAATGTTAAGGTTTGAGACAAAATATTTTTAAAAAATGAGTTGCTCCCTTGACTGAAGTGGTCATTGGAGCAATAGGATGGTGAATTTATGAAATTAAAAAAAAAAATATTGTACTCATACAATTATAAAAATTTGGTATTTTGATCAGTTTTTAAAAAAACCCAAAAAACCCAATAAAACCCAAAAAAACCCATTTGGGTTGGGTTTTTTTAAAAAACCCTGGGTTTTTTCCAACCCTGCTTCAAGTAAATCCAATTGACGTAAATAGATTTAAAAAGAATCATGAAAAAGTTCAAAACACACAGAAGAAATATTACGACAAAAACGCGAAAACATTGGAAAACATAAGCAATGGAGACTATGTTCGTATGCATGATGAAAATAAATGGCAACCAGGAAATTTGTTGAGAGCAAACAGCAACGAAGTTTCAATGAAGTTTCAAAAACAATTCCCTCTGGACAATCGTTTATAACGCTAATTCAGAATAGCAATCAGTGATTGCAAAACAAGCAATTTTTGCGAATTGCACGAAAAACTGATTACAAAAGTATTCCCTCAAGAGAATTCCGTACAAAGAATTCTTGCTTAAAAGCCATTGCGCTGAACTTAATAACAGTTGAAGTTTCGTCACAAAACTACACATAGTTTTGTAATTAAACTAGTTGTAATAACTTAATATGAAAATATTGAAATAAATATTAAATAAAAACCAACGTTGAATTCTCTTCATAATAAATAAGAAAACAAAATATGCATAATTAATAGAGGAATTATTTAAGTCAGACAACAAAATTGCCAAATATTACATTAAATGTTTATTTTTTTGAAAAAAAAAACACATTTGAATGGAAATTAAATATCTTTATCAATATTAATGATATTAAAGACATAATTAAAAATTATTGAAGTTTGTAAAGAGATTTTTACAAAATTGATAAGCTTAATTACGTACCAAAATAAAACTAGAGTGTAATTTTGTAACTCATTTTAGGTTATGTGGCGTAATATATGTCATTGCTTCAAAATATAAACAAAACTTCATGCAAAAAACAAATTTAGTGCTAAACATGCTAAGTTTTAAAACATATTTGGTAACATAGCTAGTGGTACAAATAACATTTTTTGGATTTTGTATGCATAAAGGATTGAAAATTTGTTAATTTGGTGATCATTACAAAAACATTATATTTTGCATATAATAGTTATAAAAACAAAAATATAAATGCATTAAAAACTACTTTTTGCCTAAAATATTATTTACGATCACCGAAAATTAGATAGAATAGACATTCATAAATTAGTGTTCTAAATTTCAATCATCAACTATGTAGCTATGTTACTAAATTTTAGTTGGCCCAAGACAGGTTTTCCGTAAAAATCGCAAAAAACAGAAAAGTGATACCATATGATTAGCAATATTTTTTACAATATATATTTTTGTTCTTTATAGGAAAGGTAAATCTTTTATAAATTTTTTTATTTGGAAATAAAAGCGTTTGAAGAAAAAAAATACTATTATTTTGAAGTTAGTAAATTTTACACTTTTTATACAAAAAAAATTTTTTTTTTTGCTAAACTTGTGCGTAATGCCCAATTTTACATTGCATGAAACAGACTTAGACAGGAATGGCGTGCGATGGCACTCTGTAACTGACCACGTTAATAGTTTTTTTTCTTTACAACTTGACCACAGCTATTTTGATGTTTTAACAATTTAAATGCAATTAAAAGTGTTACGTTATGAATAACTTATAATCATTGATCTTTTTTATAGTTTCTATTTTACGCAA